CCCCCGCGCCCCCCTCTATTATGTGGTTGCTGGTTCTGTTTTTCACCTTTTATTTTGCAAATATTTTATATTTTTGTTTTTTTATGCAGAAATTTATCTTGAATTTGGAGGTGCACGATGTCAGAGACAAGCGCAAGGCCTTGAAGACGGTCTCTGCTCTTCCAGGTATTGAAATATTAGGAGTAAATTTTTTACATTTTTCACCAATCAGGTTTTCAAGCTAATTAAATGGAGTAGAAAAACTACTGATCTTCCAGAATTTTCCTGCCTTTCTTTTTTCAAAGTAACTTTTTTTGACGTTACAATGGCGATTGGGACACAAACTCGTGATCCTATGGTTCCAATTGTCGGCTGTTGCAAGACACGTCACTTGGCACCACCGCTATGTAATAGTAATATTTTTTGAAAAGTTATATGTATATGTATAATAGAACAACACCGCTTGAACAACTCCAAGTTATGCTTTTGATACGAGCATCAAAGCATGTGTGTCTTTAGCAATAAGAGAAGAATTTAATTTGGGAAACTATTAGAGTTGGTGGCAGTGGCGGAGCCACCTTATATTTGACACCGCTTTGCACGATTGAAGGATTAGGAGGATCCAATATTGAAGATGGTAGTTCTGCAGCTTGGATTAGGTACTAGGCCCTTCACTTTCAATCCCCAATAGTATTCTACTTTCTACTAATGGGAAAAAGTAAAAAATAAAACAAGAGAAGTCCATTTCTTTTCATAGGACGATTCTGATATGGCGCCACGTCAAGTGGGTCCACCATGTTTGTAAGCTGTTTTCCATTTCAGCCACCATCTTCTTTCTTCGGGAAGATAAGTGATGAATGAGTGGTTATTGTAGGTTGGGCCAATTGTAGTCATGGTAAGTGCCCACATTGTTGATCTCTGTGATGGACTTTGAAAAATGCTTCATTTTTTGTTTTTTTGTTGTTTAGTTTGATGATGATTATGAAAGCACTACCTAATATTGTCCTAAGAGATTTTGCCTTTGAGTAGTTGTTCTATCAACTTCATTGCTGCACTGTTTTCAGTAGTAGTCAATTTTTAATTTGGTATAATGGCCTAATGCTCTTTGGAGAAAATAATTTGCTACAGAAGTAACCAAAACATGAAGAAAAAATGATGGTTGTGAAATAACAGTTGAAATCTGGTGACAAAGCTGTTACAAAAAGTTTGTTTTCAATATAAACAAAATTCAATTAGTTAAAAGTCCCTAAAGCCTTTCTTTTCTTGTTTTCTTTTGTACACTTGGTGAAGGGCACTGGAGTTTGATTGAACTATTTTGTGTGACATCTAAAAATTGCAAAATGAGATTAACCAGTGGATGTTATGATGAGATATTGCAGGAATTGATGAGATCTCAATGGATATGAAAGGTAAGAAATTAACCATCATCGGGACGGTTGATCCCGTGAGTGTAGTGAGCAAACTGAGGAAATTTTGGCCAGCACACATAATCTCAGTAGGACCGGCAAAAGAGCCAGAGAAGAAGGAGGAACCAAAGAAAGAAGAAGGCAAGAAAGAAGAGGCTAAGAAGGAGGGCGAGGGCAAGAAAGAAGACGCTCCGAAGGAGGAAGGAAAGAAAGAGGAGGCTAAAAAGGAAGAAGAAGGTAAGAAGGACGAAAATAAGAAAGACGAGCCCAAAAAGGAAGAAGAGAAGAAGGCAGAAGCACAACCACAGCCAATGCCAATGCCAATACCAATTCCGTTCCCACAACAACAATATCATCCAGCTGTGGTTGGTATGGTACCGCCCTATCGACCATATTATCCTCCTCCTCATATGCAGGCCATGCCTTACAGGCCATATTATCCTCCTCCCGCGCAAACATACTACCAGGTTCACCACAGCATGGAGGAGAATCCTAATGCATGTGTTATCTGTTGAATTGGTTACAGAGAATGGAATCATATATTATATATATACATAGCTCGCCGTTCTTCTTGTTTTTAGTTGGTCTTGGGTTATTCTATTAGCATGAAACCGAGACTAATATTCTGAGAACAGAGGAAATCTATTGTGAATACACAATGATGCCATATTTGTCTTTTCATATTCAAGAATTGTGTATAGAGAATTGAATAAGAGTTTTGCTACCCCTTTTTGCTTATTCTTACAGAGAAATTCAGCTTGATCTCATGTGCTCATTGTGCTCCCTCTGTTCTTGGACTAACTAGGAAACTAGTAGATTGTTTATTAGTACGAAGATCTTATATTTTGGAGGAAGTAGCTAAAAGTTTGTATGATTTGCTGGCAAGTTGCTTTATGCATGTAATTTTCCATCTCCCTTCTCGCATGTCCTACTTTTAAAAAAAAAAAAAAAAAGAGACAGCCTGGTGTACCAAGTTCCCGCTATGCATGGAGTCCGAGAAAGGGCCGGACCATAAGGATCTATTGTACGCAGCCTTACCCTGCATTTCTGTAGCTCCCGCTATGCGTGGGGTCCGAGAAAGGGCCGGACCATAAGGATCTATTGTACGCAGCCTTACCCTGCATTTTTGTAGCTCCCGCTATGCGTGGGGTCCGAGAAAGGGTCGGACCATAAGGATCTATTGTACGCAGCTTTACCCTGCATTTATGTAAGAGACTGTTTCCACGGCTCGAACCCCTGATCTCGTGATCACATTTTCCGTACTTAATATATTATTGTTAAAGTACAACTTGGCGAGACAAATTTCAAAGGAGCATGCTCTGGCATTTCTTTACTTTTTCAGAGAAACAAAAATTGGTGCTAGCCATGCTTCATTCCACATGAAAACTAAGCCGTTGATTTGTTTTCTTGGATTTTTATTCTACAAACATGTGAGTTTTAAAAAGAATATACCTCATTATGGTGTACTTTATGCCATACTCTTGTCAATTAGTCAATGATGAGGATTCTCTTTTTTCTTATTACTAACAGTTTTGTTTAAGATGAAATTGTTGGACTAGGTTCATTTGATAGTGGCTGAATTTTTAGCTTTTTACTTTGGGCCTGTAATAACACTCGGCCCAATTGTGTATTTATACTTTGTATAGGGGACATTCATCATTCTTGGAAGAACAATAATGTAAAAACATCGAGAAACTTCTTCTTCCTCTCAAATGGAGATATCTGATTTCTCATTTCTGTGTTTTCGACCTAAGACAGACATCAAAATCTAACATGGTATCAGAGCATAGATCCTTCTATGGGACGTTCTTCGCTTCCGATCGATCCTGCTTTCGTCGATTTCAGAATTTTATCCCGTTCCAGATGATGTTCAGCTCAGCTAGGGTTTTCTACTGATTTTTTGTTTGATTTCTCAGTCGGTTTCTCGCACATTCAACATTTTTGACCTCAAGTTGTTCGATTACTGATGAGACTTGAAGTTTTCGTGGATCTCATTTCGAGCTAGGGTTTCGAAGTCAAGCCAAAGTTTTCTTCCTTTCCTTTACTCTGTTAAGAAGACTGTTTTCTCTTTTCCGGTTGCGAAAAGGCTGGTAATCTCATATCACCTCTCTCCTCTCTGTTGTGAATCGCATGCATTTTTGATTTGTAAGTGTGTATGTGTTGTGTTGCTTAAAAAAAAATGACAAATCATAATAACACCAGTGCTGATGCAACTTCTTCCACTCCCTCACGCCTGATTTTCCATGAAGATGACTACACCCATCCTTGTCACCCCCTATATGTTCATCCATCAGACGTACTAGGAACCTCCTTAGTTTCCAGTCCATTTGATGGAAGTTGCTATGGGAGTTGGAAACGTAATGTGTTAGTTGCCTTGTCCATTCGTAACAAGTTAGATTTTATTAATGGTACTTCTCAGAGACCTCCTGAAGGTTCTCCTTTAGCTAGACAATGGCAACGTTGCAATGATCTTGTTGTCTCTTGGCTGACTAACTCTATGTCCAAAGAAATATCCAGGAGTGTTGAATACTCTGAGTTTGCAAAGGATTTTTGGACTGAGTTAGAGGAGAGGTATGGGAAAGCTGATGGTGCTAGAATCTTTGAGCTAAAGAAGGAATTGGCTCATATTTCCCAAGGGTCTGGACATAGCATCATATTTTAACAAAATTAAGCAACTATGGGATGAGATTGCATCTTTGTCTACTGGGAGAGTTCGGATGTGTACTTGTGGGGGTAGGGCTGCTGAGGATGAAGAACAAAAGGTCTACCAGTTCCTCATGGGATTGAATGACATTTATATTCAAACAAGAAGCAACATCATTATGATGAAGCCTTTGCCATCCATTGGTAATGTATATGGGATCTTGTTATCTGATGAGAAGCAAAGACAAGTTTCTGCTGGAACTCAATTTGCTTCAAATTCTGCCTCTTTCAGTGCTGGTGTATCCAGGTCCCCTCTATCTCCCAAAGTAAATTTTGAACCTCAAAGGTCTAGTACCAGTTTTAAAGGATCTTTTGAGCCTCACAGGTCTATTGTTGTCTGCAAATATTATAAGAAATCTGGACATAGCATTGATAAATGCTACAAACTCCATGGGTTTCCTCCAAATTTCAAACCAAATAGATCTCCTCCTCCCAGAAGGTCTGCTGCACATGCTGAAGTGGATACTTCTGCTGCTTCTGCTATGTCAGCTGGTTCTGAAGGTGTCTCTGCTATGTCAACTCCTGAACATGAGCAATCCTACCCAGTCCCTGGGCTTACCAAGGAGCAATACTCTCAGCTAATGTTTCTTCTTCAGCAATCTCAATTGTGTCCAACATCTCCTGCTTCCTCAACCAACTATCTTGCTTCTGCTAATTTTGCTGGTGAGTTGTTACCACCCAAGGGTGTATCTTATGGTGCATGTATGCTGACTACGATAGATAGTATAATTTGGGTGATAGACTCTGGGGCATCTGACCACATGACCTCCCTTAAGCATTTGCTTTTTAATGTTCAAACACTTCCTGTACCCTACCTTGTTTCTCTTCCTAATGGGTATAAGGTTAAGGTCACAAATGTTGGGTCCTTAGCTTTGTTTCCTGATTTGGTTCTTCACAATGTTCTGTATATTCCTAGTTTTCAATATAACCTCATTTATGTGTACAAGTGACTTTCCCATGATGATGATATTGTACAATTTAGCAAGGCTGCCTGTACCTTACAGGGCCCTTCAGTGAGGAAGCCAGTGGTTCTTGGTAGATTGGACAATGGACTCTACAAACTGTTTCAGAATGCCAAGCCTCCAACATCATCTGATTTACCTATTTCTACTTCCCTTAATTCTTTTTTACTTAATTCAGTTTCTGCTCCTATTTCTGTACCTGATAATACTGCCACTGTAAATACCAATGCTGTTTTACATAATGTGAATAAAGATGATGTTGTTTGGCATTACAGACTTGGGCACATTCCTTTTTCTAAAATGAAGTGCATTTCTGGCCTTAATTGCAAACTATCTTCTAAACAGTCTTTTAATTGTCCAGTTTGTCCATTAGCTAGGCAGACCAGACTATCTTTCCCTGATAGCTCTATCCACTCCACCCAACCCTTTCAGCTAATACACATAGACACCTGGGGACCTTATTCTACTCCTACCTATGATGGTTCTAAGTATTTTTTAACCATTGTAGATGACTACTCTAGAGCTACTTGGACACATTTAATGGGAGCCAAGAGCAATGCTTTTGAATTGCTCAAGGCTTTCATTGCTTTGGTTGAAACACAATTCCACTCTAAAGTTCAAACTGTTAGAAGTGACAATGCTCTGGAGTTGGGGTCTAGTTCTTCTGGTTGCCTTTTCTTTTCAGAAAAAGGTATTGTACACCAGACCTCCTGCCCTCATACCCCTCAACAGAATGGTGTTGTGGAAAGAAAACACAGACATTTACTAGAAACTGCTAGGGCACTTTTGTTTCAATCTCACTTACCCCTTAAGTTTTGGGGTGATTGTGTCCTAACTGCCACCTATTTGATTAACAGATTTCCTTCACCTCTCCTTCATCACAAAAGTCCCTTTGAATTGCTTCATTCTTCCATTCCTACTTACCACCACCTTAGAGCTTTTGGTTGCCTTTGTTACTCAACTGTCACCACCCCTCACAAAGACAATTTTCTTCCTAGATCCATTCCTTGTGTTTTCATTGGCTACCCTTTTGCCAAAAAGGGATACAAACTTCTTAATCTTCAGACTAACTCATGTTTTGTTTCAAGAGATGTCATTTTTTATGAGCACATTTTTCCTTTCTGTCAATCCTCTCATGCTGTACCTCAAGTCTTCCCTTTTCCCTTTTCTGCTTGCTTTGATGAGGGTTCTTTTCCTCCTTCTTATTCTCCTCCTCATACTTCACATGTTCCTCCTGCTGATCCTCACTCCCCTTCTGTTCCCACTTCTATATCTTCTTCTTCTTCTTCTCCTGACTCCCTACCTCCTGTACCTCCTCCTATGTTAAGAAGATCCTCCAGACCTCACAATCCACCTAGCTATCTCAACAGCTATGTTTGCACCTCCACCTCTTCTGCTCCTCCCTCTAAGTCTATCCCCAATGCTCTCACTATTAGTCAGCTTCATATCCATGAGCCTTGTTCTTACTTCAGGCTGCTGCTGTTCCTGAATGGCAGGCAGCCATGAGATGTGAGTTTGAGGCCTTGGATGCCAACAGAACTTGGGATATTGTTGAATTGCCTCCTGGCAAGAAGCCTATTGGATGCAAATGGGTATACAAGGTTAAATATAGGGCTGATAGGAGTATTGAAAGGTATAAAGCTAGATTAGTCGTTAGAGGGGATACTCAAGTTGAAGGTGTTGATTTCAATGAAACTTTTTCCCCTGTGGTCAAAATGTCCTCTGTTAAAACTCTGATTGCTGTGGCTGTTAAGCAACACTGGCCCCTCTTCCAACTAGATGTGAATAATGCCTTCTTACATGGGGACCTTGATGAAGAAGTTTTCATGAAGCTGCCGCCTGGTCTCACTTTTCCTTCTTCTGCTTCTTCTTCTGCTCCTTTGGTTTGTAAGCTTCAGAAATCTCTTTATGGTTTACGTCAGGCTTCCAGACAGTGGTATGCCAAATTGTCTCAAGCTTTATGCTCCAAGGGTTTCTCTCATTCCTTAAATGATTATTCTGTTTTTACTAAGGGTTCTGGGGATTCCTTGGTCATCTTGGCTGTCTATGTGGATGATATCATCTTGACTGGGTGTGATCTAGCTGAATTAACTGCTTTGAAG